AATTCATGTTTAAAACTAAACATGAACTCTCTCCTATTGTATTTCAGTCTTACTTTAGTGAAATCTCGCACAAGTATCCTGTTAATTTTTTAATTAATAACTTGATTGTTCCAAAAACTAATTCAAAACTAAATTCTTACAAAATCCAATACCGCGGACCGTTTCTATGGAAACATTTTTCAAAATTTATCACAAAAAATAATAATGTTCAACACATCTCAATACACAAATAATATAAATTATCGAAAAAAATAGTTATTGACACTACTTCTCTTTTGTTGCAATTTTAATCTAATTTAATTTTTTGTTGAAAAACTTTAATACTTTTAAATTATTGTTAATCTTTGATATAATGCGTTATATTTCAACACTAATATTTATATTATGTTATTAGTTATATTGTAACTAACGTATTTAAAATTCTTGTTATGTACTTAGCTACTCTTCATTTTTTAATTAACTGACGATTTTTTAATGTAACCACAGGCGTCTAATTTAGCAATTAGTAAGTCATGCGGGATATAGTCGTACGCTTTTGAGAGGTCCATTAATATTGATCCAAAAACACCTCCATTATTAATACAATCATGCCACTTATTAAGTAACGATAAGAGGTCATACTGAGTTCTATAACCTCTTCGGAAACTACACAAAAGTTTATTAAATCTAGGCTCAATAAGTACTAAGCTTTTTTCATATAAAATAGTTTCAAAAATTTTAGAAAGGGTTGGTAAAATACTAATTCAACGGTAATTCAACTTATAAGTTTGTCATTCTTCTTAAAACATGGTATAGCATCAGCCATTTTTAGAAATGACGGGAATTCATCATAATGGATAATATTATTTATGCAATCTGTAAGACTGTCCCTAAAATGAACAATATAAGATTTTACCATGAAAGTTGGTATATCACCACTAGCCTTTTTCTTATTATTCATAGACCCTATAATTTTTGTAATATTATCAGGTATGATTTGACGGAACTGGAAACTTTGTGTACACGTACTAAATTTTTTCTTTATGTTTATTATACTGGGTTATCAATATACTTTTTGATAGCTGCATCAACTGGGTCTATAGAGCAGGAAGATAAAACGAATGTATGAAGTATGTACTACCAGATGGCACTGCAACGTTTATAAATTAGTTATTAAAAATATTAGTCAATAAAGAGTTGTCAGAGATAATGATGACCGTTTCCGACTAAAGTAGTAATCTAAGTTTTCCATATAAATTTGTTAATCATGTCGATTGATCTATTATTTAAAATAGATCATATTAAATAATAGATCAATTAAATTATAATTATGTATAAATGTATATACAATCTGTTTGAAATTTAAACTTTTTATAAATATACAATCTGTTTTTTATAAATATACAATGCCAAACTAAGTTAACCTGCATTAAAAAAAATCAAAGTTTCAATTGAATCAAACGCATCAATCATTAAAATAAAAAAGAAAAGCCAGATAAGTTTTTTTAAAACAAATTCTAAATTTTTTTAATAAGCTTTTTTTAAACAAGTTGGTATCAAATTACTAAAATTATATATTTGATTGTTAACAAAATAACTTCTTGCAAGTTTAGAACGTGTTTAAATGTTTTGAAAAACCAAAGCTTATTAGTTTTCAATTTTTTTTTTTTTTTTTTTCGAGATAATTATTCAAATGCGTATTCTGTATGCGTTTTTTTAATGCTTTACCCAGCGGGCATTTGTTTTTAAAAGTTACGTTCTAAACGTATTTTAAATGTCTTTCATACGTCTTTTAAACACACGTAAAGAACGTTTAAAAGACATTTAGAACGTACCTTTTAAAAACAAACGCCCGTAGGGTAGTAAAATAATATTGTAAAATCGCGAATCAGTTTTATGACATAAATTGTATTTGTTATAGCAATTTTTTTTCCAAATAGTAGTATTATTGATTTTTTTTTTTTTTTTTTTTGTATTTTACTGCTGAAACACGTTTTACTTTATTTTGTTCTGTTTTTTTGTTGTTTTTATGTTGTTGTTTTTTGTTGATAAAATACGGTAAATACATCTGTCCAACAGCATCTGTATTTTTTTTACTCAAACAACATCTGTCCAATATCATCTGAGAATTCAATGACCCCTAACAACATCTTTGGGAAGATGTAACTACATCTGACAATTTTTCTCTAAGTTCTATAACATCTGTAAGAACTTCCTACAGATGTAATTACATCTGAAAAAAATCTTATATGAAATTACATCTGGTTAAAATAGTGTATTATTATTAAATAATTTCATAAAATCTTGGAGTTATAACTGCATCTGTAGAATTCGCAGAAGTAGTTGTACAGATGTAGTTTTTCTTAACATGGTTGAAAAGATATACCTACATCTGTAAAATTTCCAGAATAATAAACAGATGCTGTTATACTTAGATAATTGAAAAGATGTTACTACATCTGTAGTAATCATATACTTTTTACACTGATGTTAAAACGTTTCATAGTATTGCATTTTGACCTTAAATTTAAATTTTGTTGCTTGTAAAATAAAAAATTATAACGAAGAGGGTAATTCTAAGTTTAATAGTCTTATAATGTCTTGTCAACGAGCACTCCGTAATACCATTTAATAAGGAAGTTCAGTCGCCTTCTTTACTGATGTCGCTTAAGGTGAGTTTCCACTTATAGATTTTTCTACGGGAACGGGAAAATGAAGGGAAAAATAATCACGTGAGCATGTCAAGCATAATTACGTAGTTTTTGCATGCTCAAGTGATTACTTTTTCCTTTCCTTTCTCGTTCCGGTTGAAAACTGGGTGAGTGGAAACTCACCTTAACCCTAATTTGACAAGCTCATTTAGTATTTAAGTTTCAATGTTTATTATTAGGGTTTCTAAAAGTTTTCCTTTATTAAGTAAGTTATACCAGGAGTTCGACTCCCACCACGTCCCTGGAAGTACCGCGCTCAACTTAGTTTCTCCGCGCAGCGGCCTTGCTTGTCAAGGTTCGTGTTTCGGAGTTAAAGAGTTGAGAGAGGGTTGTACCACGAAATACAACAAAAAAATAAAAAACACAAAAAAATGAGTAGCCTCCTCGACTGTAGTGGCCCCCTCGGGCCTTGGGGAGGTGAATAATGTAAAAAAAAAAAAAAAAAAAAAAAAAAAAAAAAAAAAAAAAAAAGTTATTTGCAGTTATCAAAGCAATTTCTTTATAAATTCTTTATGAATCCTTATAAATCCAAGTTGTTGGATTGGTATTAGTTCTTTACTTTCACTATATTTGGATAAAATTGTCTGCATATTATGTTTTAGTATTTTCTTGAAAGTAATGGTAATGCAGATACATGGCGATAGTTTTCTGGATCAAATTTTACCTTATTTAGCTTCTGTATTGCTGTTATAATTTCTTTTTTTCCAGATGTTTGGAAAGAACTCTCATCTACAGATTTATTAAATATCGATGTTAAATTTTTTGCTAGTGAAATGGCTAATGTTTGATTAAATGAGCGGAAAATCCATAATACCCAGCTAATGAGTTGTTTTTTATTTGTTAAATGTATTCAACACGGTTTTTCTTTGACTTAAAACTGAATCTTTCAATTAGATTACATTAGTATGATTATGCTAGTGAGGTCTTATCTTTGCATTGTACTGCTGAAGCTAGGTGGCCATTAAAATGATTTAAATTGATGGTATCTTTTTCAAAAATTTGATTTTTATCTTTTCTATTAAAACACATTTGGCTTTATATACTTATACCCATATTTAAGGTTTTTGCTTTCAAATGCTTCTTTCCTTTTCACCTTTTTCATCTTTCTCATTACTTAGATATAGGTTTTATTGATTTATAATTCAATTTTTGTTAATGCAATTACAGGAAAATGATCACTGATTGAGTTGTTATTTACTTTGTAGACATACTAGATCGTGATCAATCAGATATCAAGGCATACTAGATTTAGATTAATGACTTAAGGCAATTAGAATAGGTATCAGATATTCTAATAAGTTCAGTATTCTTTATCCTTACTGTGAAAGTAGTATTGATTTGCTTGGATTTAGAATTATCTACATTAAGGTTGCTCATTCTAACTAGTTTATTTCGAGAGACTTTTTTTATTTACTCATTAAAACTTAACCACCATTCATTTTTAACTTGAGGAACACCGTTGACACTCAGCAAGACATTAGGTTTTGTGCGCTCTACCCTAATATTCTGGTACATTACATAATATGCAAGCTTTAGTAAGATATTTAAGAATGGTTGTATTTTTTAATGTATTAAATTTACCCAATATTTTATTTTCCATAAAAAAGTAGTATATTACAATTGAAATCACATTTTTTAAAACAAAGTATGTATATTCTTTTTCTGGTTATTAAAATAGTTTAAGATTTAACAGACTTGTCACAGACCATCGCGCAAAACCATTAAACAAACAAGGGTGTTCACGCGCACTCTAAATCAATATCACTTAGATGACCAGGCATCAAACCTCAAAAGATTTTGAATCAAGCGCCACGGCTGCCTTAACTTCCCCTCTATATTTAAGTAGTTAAAACTGTTAGATTCGTCTAATATAAAAATATTTCTTTTATATTAAAATAATTTAATACATGTTATTAAATACTGAATATATATTTAATCATAAAACTTAAAATACTTTAAATACAAATTCTTTGAAGATTTAAATCAGACCTGAATAGGTAACCTAGGTAACGTGCTTGCACTTCAAAGTTAAATGCCTCAGAAACAAGTTAAATGCCTCAGAACAAGGTAACGTGCTTGCACTTCAAAGTTAAATGCCTCAGAAACAAGTTAAATGCCTCAGAACAAGGCTTTGCAAAATTTCTATATTTATATAACATTTTATTTGATTAGCTAAAAAAAGTTTACAACCTTCTCGCAATCCTCAGAGGTTAGAAATCTTACAATCCTCGATCAAAACCCAGACGATACTGTTTCCAATAATGGTGTTAAAACAAAAACTTTAAAAGAAAAAAAAAAAGAACAAACAAGTCAGCGAAATCATATAATAATCTTATTCGATGGGAAATCAAATATAGAAAAAGCTAACACAATGTCTACTCTTGACATTTATAATGCGTAAAAGATATTAAATTCAATAAAAGCTTATATATTTTTATATTGTAACAAACGTCTATACCCTAAAACCTTTAAAAAAAAAACATGTATAACCTAAAACCTTAGAAAAACATTATAATCAAGAAAACCTAGTTTCATAATTCTTAGTTAACAAAATCTTAATTCAACGCATTACAAACAATCTGAAAGTTTCTGCACCTATAAATAATAGTTTGTACATTAAAAAAAATTAACAAAACAAAAAAATATATATTAATATATTGAAAAGTGTAACATAGAGCTGTCTAGTATGATTTTCTAACATGGCCTAGATAATACAAACCTTGCGCAATATGATTAAATAACGTGAGTTTTCTAATTAATTTAATGTTTAAAATGAAAAAAATTTTGTCAAGCCGAACTCTCAAAAATTATTTACCGACTACAAAACTTGCTTCAAAAATTTAAATATCTAAAAACATTGCTTGTGGGTCTTCAACGTTTTGTTTAATTTTACGCAAAAAAGTCACTGCTTCCCTTCCATCAATCAAACGGTGATCATAAGTTAGAGCGATATACATCATCGGCCGAATTTCCACCTATTCAAAAGAAAAAATATCATTCTCTTTTTTTTAAACTACACACACTTAATACATATTACAAAAATACCATTGCAGACCCACCGAATCATGCTCATCTAATGTTTCTTTCAAAACTTTAAAAAATATTATTATAGAAAGATGTAACAATAATATCAAAATTAAAACAAAATGATTCTGTACCTTTCCATTTATAGCAACAGGTCGATCAAAAATTCCATGCATTCCAAGAATTGCTGATTGAGGAGGATTAATAATTGGAGTGCCCATTAGAGATCCAAAAACACCACCGTTGGAAATCGTAAATGAACCACCATCCATGTCTTCTACAGCTAATGTGCCATCCCGTGCCTTGAATTATAAAATATTTGAAAGTACAACTAAATAAATCTATGTATAATATCTGAAAATACGATGCTAGAAAAACAAATTTTAAAAACTGCTTTTTAAAGATAACACAGTTTTAAAGATAACACAGCTTTTTAAAGATAACACAGTGTGTTAAAAAGAATAAAAACCTCAACTATAAAAACTATTAAAAAAATTAATATATTTACTTTGACTAGAATTTAAACCATTAAATGAAAATAGAATATAAAATGAGATTAAAATTGAAAATCTAACTACTACTACCCACCTAAACTATTAATAAAAAATAAAAAATTATTGACATATTTTATAAAGTATCTTCATAAAAAAAGTGTTTTATGAAAATCACTTCACTCGAGCTAATTTTTAAGTTTGAAAAAAATTTAAAAGAAAAGTATTTCCAAGAACAAATCAATCAAATTTCTTTAAATTGCCACAGAAATTAAATAAACATAAAGAGTTTTTAATAGCATTTGGAGGACCTAAGGTATGGAATTATTTTCGAAAAAATAAATAAATAAATAAATCATTAAACTCATTTAAGTTTCAAGCACAAGAACATTTTTAATTCTGAGGATTAATAACTCCAATGAATTTTTTCTAAATAGCTTTACTTTTTATTCTTTGAAGGAACTATCTACACTTTTTATTCTTTGAAGGAAGTAGTTGTACACTTATTCTTTTAGATATTTATGTATAGGTTTACATATTTTAAATCTTTGAGTATTTAAATTTGAAATTTACATCTACTAATATCTGCAGTTTACTAGAACTTTTTGACGATATTTATTTTTTTAAGAGGCTTTACGGCTTTAAATTCAATTTTTGTTTAATCCAGTTTTATGAGCTAATAGTTCATAAATTCTTCTAGTTGTATTTCCATCGCTGGTAATTTACATAACTCCTGGTCACATTTTGTCAATACTAAAAGTTTTTAAAGGAATTCTAGTTGGATTTTCTTCTTCCTGATATTAAATTCTGCTTTATCATTCTCTTAATTTGATTGACATTTTAAAATATGCCATAAAGACAAGATAGTCTATATTACCTGATCTTTGGAACACCTTAATACCATTTTATTTCAGTTGGCTTGGCTTTACAATTGAAGCCATTTTTAAAAAGATGTCTTAGTGGTTACTCTACAAACAATCTACTTAACAATCTCTACTTAACACAATAACTCTACTTAACAATTTATCATAATGAAAATTATTATTATTCTCACTCATTCTCATAATTTTTAACACTTTAAAAAGGAATCAAACAATACCTTTTCTCCCAATAAATTCATTCCACGTTCAATGTCTGCAAAGTTCATTTTATCTACATCTCGAAGAACAGGAACAACTAAACCCTTAAAACAGATAAATATATACATACATTGACAATATAAACAATAAAGATATACCTACATTGGTTAAAAAGATTCCATGATAATTTGCAAGTTGTGTTCATTTTATTTATTCATAATTAGTTGATGTTCAAACAAAAATCAATCAAAAAAATATTTCTTTTTGTAAAAAAAAACATTCAAATTTAAAAAAAAGTAAAAAACATTTAAATATAAATTAAAAAAAACTCTTTTGTTCAATATTTTTTAACCAATGAAACACAACAGCAATAAAAACAGCAACAAAAAAAAAAAAAACATCAGAAACAACAAACACAAAAACCAAAAAAAAAAAAAAAGAAACAGCAAATAATAAAAATTCATGGGAGTATTATATGTAAAAGATGAACTCATAACACAAAAAGACATGAATAACACAGACAAACACGAATAACACAAAAAGTCATGAATAACACAAAAAGATTTGAATCTAATTAAATTATTTCTTTCCAAAAATAATTTAAAAAAAGATTTCAAAACAAAAAAAATTATGAAAAAAAAAAAAAAACTTGAGTTGTCAAAATTTATCTGAGCAAGTTTAAATAACTTTTAATTTATTTCTTTATGAAACTTTTCAAAACACTGTGTAACCATTTTAGTAGAAAAAAAGTTTACTTTTGGCGTGGCCACAGCAACACTTATATCTACGAAATCACGATATACCACGTAGTTATCTTCAATCACTAAAAAAACAACATAAACATTTTAATTTTAAAGACTATATATATATATATATATATATATATATATATATATATATATATATATATATATATATATATATATATATATATATATATATATATATATATATATATATATATATTAGGGTGGGTCATAAAATTTTTTTTTTTGTTACAGGCTCTAAACATTGCTAGAAAGTTGTTTTTTTATGTACTAATTTAGGAAAGTATTTACTTTTATGGATTGAACAATGTCTTCCACCCGCAACTATAATTACAAAAATTAGCAGGCCCTATTATTATTCAAAAAAAGAGTTTTTCAAAATTATGTGATGTAGGTACTCAAATAAAGCGAAACTTTATAAAAATTTCAAAAATAATAATTTTTTCATATAAAAATTATTATTTTAGATTTTATTGCATAATAACTATAGTTTTTTAACTAAAAGTGAAAAAGGTGCATCTGAATATATATATATATATATATATATATATATATATATATATATATATATATATATATATATATATATATATATATATATATATATTCAGATTTATAATTAATCAATTATAATAATTTAAAAACTAATAATAATTTATAACAAATGTTTAGGTATTTGCAAGCAGACAAACAGGCCTTGCGATAAAGCGTTGGGCGATGTGAGTTTTACGCCGTCCAAGAGCGATTTTGCGTGTAGCTAGGGCTATTTGAGTCGAGCAAAATATTTGTTTGAGTATATTTAAAGATATTTTTGAGCGGAATTTTAATGAAGTAATTTACGATTATTTTAACATTTAATAAAGTATTTTAAAAACCGCATGCAGTTGATATAAAAGTTTTAATTACAAAAAAATTAAATATGCTTATTATTTACAAGTAGAAAAAATTTAGATTAAAGAAAAGTTTAAATCTTTTTAAGCTAACATTTTAATAAAATTATTCAGCAGTAGCAAAGTTGTCGATAAAATTGAACAAAAATACTTTCTTTAAGTTTTAGATTTTTAAATTAAATAATTATTTTACGGGGGTTTGTTAGGTTTTAAAATTATTCCGTAGATTTAAAAATATTAACTGTTAGACGTATTTAAAGTATTTAAGAGTAATTTCGAGGAAACATTTTAAAAATTGGTAAGCGCAAATAAAGAAAAATAAAAGGATTAATATTAAAACGTATTCTACTTGATTCAATAAAAAAGTACAGTTATTAGAATTTTTGTAAAAAGTAACTCAAAGAAAATTACTTAAATAATAACAATCGCTTTTTTGTTAAAAGTTAATGAAACTCTTTTACTTATTTTACTAGAAATAAAATTCATTGTAAACATTAAAAATCTATTCAAAACGTTCGTTAAAGTTTTTTAGTAATACGAGTGATTGTGCTTCAACTGCTTTATGAAAATAAATAAAAATAAATAAATAAATATTATATAAAATCGCTGGTAAAAATATTAGCTATTGCATAGTTTTTAATCGTACAATATTAAAATTTTCAGTTTACTACTCGCTGACTTTTTAAAAAGAAAAAATAATTATTTGAAAAACTTTAAATTACATATTTGAGAAAAAAAAATCAAATATTAGCATATTTTATAATCTTTATTAAATGTTTAGTTATGTTTTTTATTCGTTTAGTATAGACAAAACGTGTCAAACATCGAGAAAATAAACAAATGTTTTTACATTTTAAAAAACGAAACATTCAAAAACATTTTAAAATAATAACATTTTTACATTAATGATTTAAAGTAGTTTTGCGGTAATTAAGTAAATTGGTACAGTTAATGTCGATAAATATGAAAAGCAAATAGAAAGAGTTTAATGACGTCGAAAATCACATTGTGCTTATGCATCGCGCAGTTTTTATTCATCACAAGGCCTGGACAAACTAAAGAATCTGACTTTTAATATATAAAAACTTTTATGTAAGAAAATCATTGGCATAAAGACTGCGGAAAAAAATTAGTGTATGGAAAATTAAGATCAAAACATTAAACAGCTAGTTTTCTTGTGAAAGTCAAACAAGTAAACAAGTAAACAAGCCTTTATTTAGAAGCACTGTGCATGATAAAATAGAAAATTTTGTGGAAATGAACAATGAAATATTTCATCCTTTGAAAATCTGTGTGATAAAATAATATTTAAAACTTTTTTTTTAAATATAGTCAATAATATGAAATGTCTGTGAAAAGATTAAGAATAAAGATCTACAATATGGTTTTATACCTACACAATATGTTCTAAAGTTTATTTTAAAAATAAGAAATCATTTATCTTTTAATAGCTATCAGTGTAGTGCATCCCCCTTTTTTTTACAATAATATGAATATTGACAGTGTTTGCTGTCAATACACTATCTAATTTGAGTTCATCTGTCTCATCACAAGATGAGACAGCTGAACTAAAATTCGTCTCACAAAGAACATGTAGGTCTGGTGAACTTTGCAGAGATAAGACTCCACAGAAGAAAATTCACATTTACAAAGTTAAAATTTACAAAGATCACGAATATTATTGATTGATAGATTTAAAGAACTTGGTTATGACAATGGTTTTTTGTGTTTTATAGTTTTTGATACTTTAGTCATTTTTTAAATTGACTAAAAAACTTCACTCAAAGCACAGATAGTACTCAGTACACTACCTAACAGTCCAAGCAATTGCATCATTTCTATTAATAAACCTTAAGCCATAACAAAGGCTCCAAATGTAGCCTCAACAAAACACACTAAAATTACAAACAGGGACACCGTCCATGCACAACATGCCACTGTTAGTACCTTAATATTTTACACCTGTTGATAGAATTGGTCCCTCTGAGAGCTACAACAGAGTTAGGGAAACCTGACTACCTGCCGGCCTCTGAACCATAAAACTAAGTTCTAGAGCTGTATCTTCATTAAGATATAATAAAATGAGTTTATCTAGTCATAAAAATAGCTATTGATAGAATCGGTCACTGAGAGCTATGACAGATTTCGAAAAACCTGACTACCTGTCGGCCTCAGAACTATAAAGCTGAGTTCTAGAGCTGTACCCTCATTAAGAGATAATAGAATGAGTTGTCTAGTCATAATAACAGAGACACAAGCAAAACCCATGTAATGAATTAAGAAGATCCAGCATTCAACATTCTAAACTTGAAACAATGCATTATAAATACATCTACGCCAGCCTAATAAATGAAGGAGTGCGAAGCTGGTCAACAGATGGAACCTTTTTACCCCTTACATGTGTGAGCATGAGTTGTATTGTGTTGGACTTCTTAGAAACTAAGTTTAGATCCCGGTCTTGTAAAAGCTTTTAAAGTCTTGGTCTTGAGTTGATTTTTTGATGTCCTGGTCTTGAAGCTTTCAGTCTTGGTCTTGGTCTTGAGCCTAAGTGTCTTAGTCTTAGTCTTGGCCTTTACTGTCTTAACCAGGGCTGTGGAGTCGGAGTTGCGACAATTTTAGCGGAGTCAGAGTCGCTAAAAAATATTGCGACTCTGATTCCGATTGTAATATTTCTTGGTATTGCACGTGTATGTACAAAACATTCAATTAATGTTCATACTAAACCTCAAAGAACGTTGCATAAATTTGTCAAAAAAATTTTTTTTAACTTATCGTGCAATATTTTTTAAAGAATTCAAAGAATTTTTCAAAAATTTTGCTTCGGAGTTGGAGTCGGAGTTGTACTCAAAAAATTTCAACAATTAGAGTCGGAGTCGGAGTCATTACTTTTTTTTATGACTCCACACCCCTGCTCTTAACTATCTCTAGTTTTTAGTAAAACTGCTCTCCAAAGCAATTTTGGGTCAATGATTGTTTTTTATTTGGTGGAAAACAGTTTTTGTATAAAGCATTTCCAGTAACAGGTCGTTCCTACCTTTTTTTAATATGATCAAGAAAAAACAAAACTATAAAAAAAAATTAATTTGGTTCTGTTGTTGCTATTCTTTGAATTGAACAAATCATTTTATTTACAAACCTTTTATAAATTTTTTCTTTCAAGATAAACACACAAAATTAAATATAACAGCTAATCAAATTAAAAAAATATATACCAGCATTAACAATTGGCATTTGAGTGAGGGCATTGGAAGATGCTTTTAAAAAACATGACATAAAACCAAGTTTTAATTTGTGAACTTTCAAGAAAATATCTTTGTAATTTTTTCGCATTTCCATTACTTTACTGAATAAAAAAAATTATATATATATATATATATATATACATAAAAATGAGTAACAAAAAAGACATTTTAAAAACTGTAACATAAAATATATGTATAAAAAAAATTGAATGTTATAAGCTTTTTTCGCAAAACTAAAAAAGTTTTAATATTAAAACCAAAGTTAGGAGTGTTGCCAAGGCTTCATTTTGACCTAAAAAATTTTTTCTCTCAATTTTTTGTAACCATATAAATATCTGGTAAAATTGATTTTAATTACATTAGGTATTTAACTATTTTAGGTTTAAAACCTTGCGTACATCCCTAAATTTCAACTACTCAACTATACAGTCACCACCAAGTCCAACAAATTGTTGCCTTTATTTAGAGCTTTTATGCTTGATAAAATAAAGTATTTACTTAAAGCAAACAATAATTCATCATAACAACACAAGTATTTGTTATTTGTCTGATAAGTTAAAGAATATAAAGAAAAAAACGTCAATATTTAAACACAAATTCATAATATAAATTCTGATTAAGACTAATAACTTCATAACTAAATGGTGTTGTCATAACAAAATGGTGTTGTCATAACAAAATGGTGTTGTCATAACAAAATGGTGTTGTCATAACAAAATGGTGTTGTCATAACAAAATGGTGTTGTTATAACAAAATGATGTCGTCATAACTAAATGGTGATGTCATAACTAAATGGTGCTGTCATAACAAAATAGTGTTGTCATAACTAAATGGTGTTGTCATAACAAAATGAAAACTTACTAAACAACAAAAAAACTTTATATGCTGACTTTTTAACAGTTTTTGAAAAATATATTTCTATTTAATACAACTAACCTCATATCAACTTCATTGAATGTGGTTAGCATTGCATTTGTATTTTGAGCTTCTTTTAACCTTTGAGCAATTCGAAGGCGCATTCGGTTCATTTTAACCTAGATTATAATAACAATTTTTACATTATACTTTATTACATTAAAAATACCATTTTATAAAAATAATATGATACATTAAACCAATTACTTTTTAAAAAAGAAAAAAGAAAAAAGAAAAAAAACATAATTTATAACTTTAATAGAATAGAAAAATAATTATAAATAAAATTAATTTTTTATAAAATAAAAATCGAGGCAAAATAAGATATTAAGAATTAAATGTTGATAACAATGAATGCATTAAGAAATATAGAAACATTCTTAATTTTTTTTTAACATTTAAGTTTTTATTTATTCATTTTAAAATAAATTTTCATTTAGTTAATTTAATTGTATTTGGTTAAACATTTTTAAATTTAAATTTTCTTTTTTAATTTCTTCGGTTGAGATTTAAATATTTTCATAGTGTAAATTCTTTAAACTTGTTTTTTTTTTCCAATCAGCTGCAATCAAAATCCAAAAATCTTGCAATTTTGTTTTCAACATTTTAATTTGCAATTATGATCTTAAAATTTGTTGATGCTCAGTCACATTTATTCTAGTTTTTTTTC